GAGCCCCTCCGTACCTCAGAGAGAGAGCGCGGAGGTGGGGAGCCCCTCCGTACCTCAGAGAGAGAGCACGGAGGTGGTGAGCCCCTCCATACCTCAGAGCCAGCAGAACAAATGAGCAACTGTAGTCATTGGAGTCCATGTCTGATAAAGGAAGTCAGTGTGCTCCGAGCACGCTGCTGGGACACCTAAGCTCCCCAAGGCTGGGTGCCGAATGGCTTCATGGTAAAACTGCTGTTCAAGGTGAAGTTGGAAGGGACGGGTAGGGAACTAGCCAGGCACAGTGCAGGTGCGGCTTTCTTGGGGAAAGGCAGAAGAGACGCGAGGGAGGAACACAGGGAGGACCCGTGAGGTTCCAGTCACCGGAAGCAGAGGGTGTTGACGAGAGACGAGAGGGCAGCGGGAGCTGTGGCATCCCGGGCTCCTGAGGACTGGGTCACTAGTGGGGCGTGGGGGAGGAGTTAGGAACAGTTCAGAGTAGCTGCTCAGGACGCAGGCGGAGCGGACTCGGGCCATGGAGATGGAGCGGACAGGAGACGACAGAAGTCCCGGGAGAGGCGGGGGCTCGGGTAGCAAGTGTGAGCAGAGCAGAGAAAGGACAACGGCAGCGTCTTCTGCCCACGAAGATGGAGAAAAGCAGGGCTGAGGAAGGTGAACTCGGCTTGGAGGTCGAGCAGGCGCCCGGGGGACACACGAGGGGATGGGACGTCCCAGCAGGCAGCTCAGTGAAGCGCGAGACAGTGCCATCGGCGGTGTGGAGCTCAGGGCTGTGGTAGGAAGGAAGTGGTAGATTAAAGACAGTGGTTCTCAGCTGGACGGTGGTGGCTGCGCATGCCTTTAATCCCAGCACTTGGGAGGCAGAGCCAGGCGGATCTCTGTGAGTTCAAGGCCAGCCTGGGCTACAGAGTGAGTTCCAGGAAAAGGCGCAAAGCTACACAGAGAAACCCTGTCTCGAAAAACAAAAACCCACTGAGGTCAACCAGCCCTTTTGCAGGGGTTGCCTAAGACCATCAGGAATATCAGATATCACAATTCATAACAGTAACAAAATTACAGTTTTGAAGCTGCAACAAAAATAAATTTAAGGTTGGGGGTCACCACAACGTGAAGAGCTGCATTAAAAGATTGAGGACCACTGGTACTAGGACTTCAGGGTGTAACATTTAACTGGAGGTCAAGCTCCGTGCCTCAGTTGTCTCCATGCCCCAGCACTGAGCCCGAGACCCGTCTGTAGTGGTGTGTGCTCACCCATGACCTTGGGCTACAGGGCCCCAAAGAGGCAGTGCTTCTTGCCGTTGTACAGACCTCTTAAAAGGAGAGGGAGAGGGTCAGAGCCCCTTCTCCCTGCTTCCGGGTGTGATTGAACTGCGGGTGGATGGGCTCCCGGTCAGATCAGAGGATGACGTCAGCTGTCTGCTCCATTCTGTATTCCTGAGTGTATTTCCTCGAGTTATATCCTAATGAATCCCTGCTACCTACCCGTTAAATAGACTCACGTGGATTGATCTTTACACTCGTCCGTCCGCAAGGCTAGCAGGAGAGTGAGCTGGGGGAGAGCTGCTTCCCTGCTCCCATAGACGGCTCTGTCTCCGACAAACTTAATCCACCTTTCTAAGGAAACTGACCCTGTCACTCAGTCACACGACTCCTGGGGCCTCCTCGCCTTCTGGGAAGTCACAAGGCTCTGCCCTGGTGCAAGGGTGGTGTGTGAAGAGGGAATTATGCTGACCAGTGGGACTGGGCTTCTGGATTTCAGATAGGTTCTGTAATTTACTGGCTGTTTGACTGGCCGAGATTTCACTTTTCAAGCCTGTGTTTCTTTTTTTTTTTTTTCCTTTTCTTTCTTTTTTGTTTAGTTTTGGCTTGTTGGTTGGTTGGTTGGTTGGTTGGTTTCTGAGACAAAGTTTCTCTGTATAACAGCCCTGACTATCCTGGAACTCGCTCTGTAGCCCAGCCTGGCCTCACACTCACCTGCCTCTGCCCCCTGAGTGCTGGGGTTAAGGCGTGCGCCACCACCGCCCGGCATCAAGCCTGCATTTCTTTTTTTTTTTTTTTTTTGTTTTTGGTTTTTCGAGACAGGGTTTCTCTGTGTAGCTTTGCGCCTTTCCTGGAGCTCACT